GTCGTGGTGTATTATTTTTTTGATATGATGCTGAATTCTATTGGCTAGAATTTTGTTGAGAATTTTTGCATCTATATTCTTGAAAGATATTAGTCTGTAATTTTCTTTTTTTTTTTTTGGTATCAGGGTTTTGCTGGCTTCAAAGAAGGAATTCTGAAGTATCGCTTCCTTTTCTATGTTCAGAAAGAGTTTGAGTAGTACTGGTGTAAGCTCTTCTCTGAATGTTTGGTAGAATTCTCCAGTAAAGCTATCTGGGCTAGGGATTTTTTGTTGTTGTTGGGAGTTTTTTTCATTACCTTTTCAATCTCTTCTTTTGTTATGGGTCTGTTCAGATTTTCAACATCATTTTGTGTTAGTGTGGGTAGGTAGTGTGTTTCTAGAAATGTGTCCATTTCCTCTAGGTTTTCAAATTTGTTGGAGTATAGTTTTTCATAATACTGTTAAGATCCTTTTTATTTCAGTTAGATCTGTTGTAATGTCCCCCATTTCATTTCTGATTTGGGTTATTTGTGTCCTCTCCTGTTTTTCTTTTCTCAGTTTGGCCAGTGGTTAATCAATTTTGTTGATCCTTTCAAAGAACCAACTTTTGGTTTTGTTGCTTCTTTCTATTTTTTTTTATTCACTATTTCATTTATTTCTGCTCTGATCTTTATTATTTCCTTTCTTCTGGTGGCTGTGGTCTTCTTTTGCTGTTCTCTTTCTATTTGTTCAAGTGATGTAGCTAATGTTTTAATTTTGTCCCTTTCTTTTTTTTTTGGCGTGTGCATCTATTGCTATAAATTGACCTCTGAGCACTGCCTTTGCTGTGTCCCAAAGGTTTTGGTATAATGTGTTTTCATTCTCATTTGGTTCTAGGAATTTTTTTATTCCATCTCCAATTTCTTCTATTACCCAGTGGTTTGTAACAGGGTGTTATTTGGTTTCCATGGAATTGATTTTTTTTTTTTTCCTTGCTCTTCCTGTGGTTAATTTCAACTCTAATGGTGCTGTGGTCAGAGAAGATACTTTGTAGTATCTCAGTGTTTTGAATTTTGTCAAGGGTTGCTCTGCGGCCTAAGATGTGGTGTATTCTGGAGAACATTCCATGTGCATTGGAAAACAATGTGCACTTTGCAGCTGTTGGGTGGAATGTTCTATGTATGTTTATGAGGTCAAGTTGGCTGATTGTGTCCTTTAGATCTCCTGTATCTTTGCTGAGTTTCTTTCTAAATGATCTGTCCTTCACTGAGTGTGGTGTGTTGAAGTCTCCTACTATCAATGTGGAACTGTCAATTTATCTTTTCAGTGCTGTTAGAGTTTGTTTTATATATTTTGGAGCCCTGTCATTGGGTGTGTAGATATTTATTATGGTTATGTTTTCATGATGGATTTTCCCTTAATCATTATATAGTACACTTCTTTGTCTTTTATGGAGCATTTTGTTTTAAAGTCTACTTTATCTGAGATTAGTATTGCCACTCCTGCTCTTCTTTGGTAGCTGTTTGCTTGATATATTTTTTCCATCCTTTGATTTTTAATAAATTTACGTCTTTCTTTCTAAGGTGTGTCTCTTGTAGACAGCATATTGATGGATACTTTTTTTTTTTTTTAAATCCATTCTGTCACTCTGTCTCTTTATGGGTGAATTTAGGCCATTTATGTTCAGTGTAATTATTGATAGGTATGAGTTTATTGCTGCCATTTCATGGTGCTTATTTTGTGGTACAGACATTATCTTTGGTCCTCTTACTCTCCTGTGCTGAATTCATTTTGTTTGTGGATTTTTTTCATTTCTTTTGCTTTTGTAGATTTTGTTTTTACTGAGACTTTATGTTTTTCTTCTTTATTTTGATGAGTAGGTTTGTTAACTTTCTTTGTGGTTACCTTGAATTTTACCCTTATCTTCTTAGGTTTGAACCAGTCTAGTATTACGTGGTATTGCCTTGCCTTCCTCTCCATTAGAAAGTTCAATACCTATACTGTTTATTCTGTCTTTTATTGTTCTGACGTTGTTGTCATTTACAAATTAACCTCTCCTGTTCCCTATTGTAAATCTTTTGGTTTTGAACAGTCACTGAGAGTTCATTTCCTAGGTTGATATCTGGCTGCTGCAATCTTGCTTCCTAGATTCAGGCTGTGGTCTGATGTTATTTGTTCTCAAACCAAAGGACTCCTTTTAATAATTCTTGTAAATTTGGCTTGGTTTTTACATATTCCTTTAATTTCTGCTTCTAGAAATGTCCTAATTTCACCATCATATTTGAAAGAGAGTTTTGCGGGATATATTATTCTTGGCTGGCATTTTTTTTTCTTTCAAGGTTTTATAAATGTCATCCCATTGCCTTCTTGCCTGCATTATTTCTGCTGAGTAATCAGAGCTTATTCTAATTGTCTCCCCTCTATATGTGACTTTTATTTTTCTCAAGCTGCTCTCAGGATTCTTTGCTTGTCTTTGGTTTTAACAAGTGTGATTATGATATGCCTTGGTGATTTTCTATTGGGGTCTATCTTATATGGGGTTCGTTGAACTTCTTGGATGGTCAGCTTTTCATCTTTCATGATATTAAGGAAGTTTTCTGTCAGCAATTCTTCAATGATCCACTCTGTGTTTTCCATTTTCTCCACCTGTTCTGGAACTCTGATCATTCGAAAATTTTTGCTTTTGATTGTATCCCACATAATTGTAAGGGTTTCTTCATTTTTATTTGTTCTTTTTTCTGATTTTTTTCTCAAACAGAGTTGTAACCAAGTATTTGTCTTCAATTTCGCTGATCCTGTCTTCCATTGTTTCAGTCCTGCTCCTCAGACCTTCTATGACACTGTCCATTTCTGAAATCCTCTTTAACATTTGGATTTCTAATTGTTGTCTTTTTATGATTTCTAGTTGTGAATTTATTTCGGCATTCTGTTCCTGTACTATTTTCCTAAATTCTTCCATTCTTTTGTCTATACTTATCATGAATTTGTCTGTTTTTTCCTCATTTTTGTCTGCTTTTTGCTTCAACTCTTCGATAGCTCTGAATATTAGAGATTTGAATTCCCTATCAGATGGTTTTAGTGCCTTTTCTTCTACTGGAAAGTCATCTGGTGTTTTATTTTGGACGCCTACTGGAACCATTTTTCTGGTTTTTTTATGTTTTGATATTTTCTGCTGTCTTGAGGACATTCACTAGTCATTTTCTTCATTTATTGATTATAGATATGTTTCTTTCAGCCTTCTTTTCTGTTTTATTTGGTTATGTCTGAGTAGGCGGGCTGTGCATTCTTTGTTCTTTGCTCGTCTGTGGGCATGATACTTTTCACCTCCTTGTCCAATGGGCAGGGCCAGTTGCTTAGCTATGGTGCAGCAGGGCAGGACAAGAGAGTGCTCTGTCTCCTGCTGGGAGCTCTGTAAGCTGCTTTCCCATACTCTCTTTCCACCAATCTCTGACAGGAGTCTAAGATAGCGAATCTGTGCTGCATTAGCTGATGGGGACCTCCACTCATATCTCTCCTAGCTGTCCGTTCTCTGTCAGTTTCTTATTCCATTCGGTACTTGGCTGAGTTCTTTATCTCTTCATTTCATGCTTAGGGTTCCAGGACTGATGTCTGTCTCTGTTTTACTTAGTTTTTTGGGTCCTTGCTGTCAAAGGACAGCGTGGTGCTTCTGTCTACAGAACTATTTTGGCTCACTTTCCCTCTTCCATCTTCTTTTGATGCTTCCTGCATCATTCAATATTTCCCTGTAGAATCCTTCAATACTGCAACTCAAGGCTTGATTTTTTTTCTTCAGTTCTTTCAGCTTAAGAAATGCCAAGCACGTTCTTCCTCCTGGTTTTCTAACTCCACATATTTGTACATTTCATTACAGTACTTTACTTTGTCTTCCCAAGCTGTCCTTTGAAATCTCTTCAGCTCTTTATGTGATCATTTCTACCTTTTGCTTTAGCTATTCTGTGTTCAAGAACAACTTTCAGAGTCTCTTCTGACATCCATTTTGGTGTTTTCTTTCCTGTTTTTTTAATGACCTTTTACTTTCTTCATATATGATATCCTTGATGTCACTCCACAACTCGTTTGGTCTTCAGTTATTAGTGTTCAATGCATCAAATCTATTCTTGAGATAATCTATAAATTCAGGTGCAATATACTCAAGGTGGAAGTAGGGGCTGTTATTATCCTTGTTTTTACAGAAAAGGAGACTGAAACACAGAAAGGAAAATGTCAGGCAATTTGTTTGAGGTTACTTAGCTAGTTAAGTGTGGAATTGGGATTTGATCCTGGGAGTCTGGTACCAGAGAGTGCACATATTCTGACATGACTGACATGATGTCATCCCAAACTCTTTTGGTCTTCAGTCATTAGTGTTCAACTGATATTTAGCCTCAAGTATATTGTAACAAACAACCCCATTTTACTTTAATAAAATTATTCACTCACTTTTACTGATTTCTTTGTAAAATTAACTCAAGTTTAAGCCTATGGGAAGGTAAAGAGGAATTTATCTTCAAAATACATCAGGAAAACAACTTAGGAATATTCTAAAGAAGAATACCTACCTCAGGCCCTGTGATGTGCATCAGACCAGAAACAGCAGAGGCAACAGCATCATAACCAGCTCGCTGAGACATTGGACCTGTCTGGCCATACCCTAAAACAACAAGAAGAACAGATATATTCAGCACCACAGAGGGAGAGCAATATTTCAATAGTGTGTTAAAAAAATTTGCATCCAGAAATCTTGCAGCATTTTGTTTGTATTACATCTATACTATCCTTTGAAAGGAAGCAGTAAGAATTAGGACGTTCTACTCCAGATGGTCTCAAATTGATGACTTGTAGGCCAGATCCCACCTGCATGAGTGTTTTGTATGGCCTGCAGAGTATTCTGAAATTTCTTTATTTAGTTGTCAACATTTAAAAATCAGGAGATTTCACATAAAGTGCAAATACCTGGCTTTTCTTGAAAAATCAGAAAATAAATTGAAACCTAGGCCCACATTCTCACATGGCAAGAATCAATCAGAGTTGTGTAACAGCTGCCTTTTGTTATATAGGGCAGGAATTCTCCAATTAGACACAGTCTCCACCACTCCTTACTATCTACATCCCAGCCTGATTCACTCATTTAACTTACCTCCTGGATATCAACAGGCATTTGTTACTCTTGATCTATACAATTTACAAAGTAAAATTAAACAATATTTCCCTTGTTTCTATTTAAATATTTTCTCAAGTATGCAGAGAAAATATAAATGATGATTTTTAAAAATTTTTACATGAGGAGCTGGGGCCAAATGGTGGAGTACTCAGATGCTTCCGGTGGCCCCTCTTACAACAAAGACCTGAAAAAACAAGTGATTCAATTATATATGGCAATCTGGGAGCCCTGAACATCAAAGGCAGAGTTGAGGAAACGGACTGAGTGGCAGTGGGAGGGAGAGACAGTTCAGAAGCAGTGAGGAGTTGCCAGACCTGACCCAGCAAGAGACTGGGTCCTTCAGGCCGGATCAGCTCCGGGGTGAGCAGTGAGGCAGGCAAGCAGCCGTGCTCAGGAGGCACATTTTCTGCACCAGGAGAGACCCAGCACCAGAGACTCTATACGGCCACCCAGAACCAGTGAGAAGCAACCCTCCACAAAAGATAAGTACTGGTGTACGTCTCCCTGCGCAGATCAAAAACACCCTTCTTAGGGAAAAACCTCTCTCCCATTTACCTCCCCGCTCCCTGCTCTGCACTGGGTCTGGGAACGGCTTCAGGAAATTGCAGAGTCCCCTAAGCCAGAAGTAGGATCTGTCACATGCCCGGAGCCATTCTCCTTGCCTTGGAGAGTGAACAAAATTACCAAAGAGGGGAAAAATAAACTGCTGGTTCTGCTAAGCCAGGAACCCAGGGTAAGCACAGATCCTTTGCCTAGGCACAGGCATAAGGGATCCACGGACTCTGAGTGCCTTTCCCTCTGCATAGACTTGTGTGGGCTGATCTCAGCAGCGTAGGCTCTCATTACCACAGTACAAAGGGTATATACCAGAACTAACTTCAACTGTTTCAGCTGTGAAGTGGCAGGTTCTTGATATACAACACTGTTCTGCCCATTAAGCAGGGTCTTCACCTTCCCACATCAGGGGCCTGAGGAATGGTGGCTTCATCCATGCCGCTTAGCCACATGTCAGAGGTGCCCCCCACCCCAGTCCTTACAGCCAACAGCATTAGGTGCTCATACGCTGGCTGCAAAACCTACCCACCTATGCAGTCTAGGGAACAGGCACACACCTTTCTCCCGGACACTCGGGGGCGGCCATCAGCCCCCTGCCTTGCTTAGAGTGTGTCCCCCTCCAGCAGCCAGATGCCTGTGCATACACCAATCACCCATGCCTGTCTAAGACTGTAAGTGAGAGCCTACACCACACACTTGGTGGCTATCTACCTGGGCACCTGAGCTGAATACATACAGGAGGAGGGGGCAGACTCCAGAGCTGACATACTCAGTAACAGATCTAACCACCTAATGACAGGACATTAGTGCTTCAAAGGTGTCAATAATCAAACTAGCTCATACAAGCAGCCTATGTGGGCGTATCAAAACAAAACAAGAAGATAGGACACAATAAGCAAATATAAAATAAATAAATATAGTAATTTATTGATAGCTCAGAGACAACAGTCAATATCAAATCACATAAAGAGGCAATCCATGATGGCTTCAACAAGCTCTCAGAATAAAGAATCTAGAAATTTCCCGGGGAAGGAAAATTTCTTGCAACTACCGGAGGCAGAATACAAAAGATTAATATACAGAAATCCTCAAGAAATTAGGAAGGAAATTAATCAAAACGCAGAACACGCAATAGAGGAAATTAAAAAGATTAGAGAAGAGCGTAATGAAAAATTTAACAGGCTACAAGAATCCTTAGACAGCAATCAGAAATCCAGAAGTTAACAATAAAATTTCAGAATTAGACAACTCAATAGAAAGTCACAGGACCAGAATTGAGACAATGGAAGTCAGAATTAGTGAGACAGAAAATAACGCACTTGACACCAACTTATTTGAGGAAAAATCAGATAAAAGTATTTTAAAAAATGAAGAAAACCTATGAATTATGTAGGATTCTATCAAGAGGAATAACCTACGAGTGACTGGAGTACAAGAACAGGGGGAATAAGAGAAAATACAGAGAGAATTGTTGAAGATTTGTTGGCAGAAAACTTCCCTGATGTCGTGAAACATGACAAGATATCTATCCAAGATGCTCATCAAACCCCACAAAAGGTAGACCGCAAAGAAAGTCACCAAGACAAATTATAATCAAACTTGCCAAAACCAAAGATAAAGAGAGAATTTTAAGAGCAGCTATGGATAAAAGAGAAGTCATCTACAAAGGAGAGTCAATAAGAATAAGCTCAGACTACTCAGCAGAAACCATGCAGGCAAGAAGGCAATGGGATGACATATATAAAGCCTTGACGGAAAAAAACTGACAGCCAAGAATTCTATGTCCAGCAAAACCGTCTCTCAGATATGATGGCAAAATTAGGACATTTCCAGATAAACAGAAGTTTAGGGAATTCGCAAAAAACAAAAAACAAAAAAAAAAAATTACAAGAAATACTAAGGGGAGTCCTCTGGTTAGAAAATCAGTAATATCAGATAACAACCCAAGACTAGAACACAGGACAGAGCAACCAGATATCAACCCAGATACAGAAGTCACAGAAGCAAATCAAAGCTAAACAACTGAAAATAGGGAAACAGATGTCAATATGTAAAAGATGACAACATTAAAACAAAAAATAGGGACTTAAAACATGCAGACATAGATTTTTCATATGGAGAGAAAGTCAAGGCAATATAAAGAAATAAAAGACTGGTATAAACTTAGAAAAATAAGAGTAAATATTAAGATAACTACAAAGGAAACTAACAATTCTAAAAGTCAAAATAAAAAGCTAGAAAAATATAAGGACTCAGCAAAGACAAAATCAACAACAATGAAAAAGATGAAAAGAAAATACATAAAAAGAAACGACTCAGCACAGAAAATTAAGTGGAACAAAGAAACTGTGAACAACACATAAAAAAGACATCAAAGTGACAGCAATAAACTCATACCTATCAATAACTACGCTGAATGTAGATGGACTAAATGCGCCAATAAAGAGACAGACAGTGGCAGATTCGATAAAAAAACACGATCCGTCTATATGCTGCCTACAAGAGGCATACCTTAGACTTAAAGACACAAACAAACTAAAACTCAAAGGATGGAAAAATATATCAAGCAAACAACACTCACAAAAGAGCAGGAGGGGCAATATTAATCTCTGACAAAAAAGACTTTAAAGTAAAATCCACCACAAAGGATAAGGAAGGACACTACATAATGATTAAAGGGTCAATACACCAGGAGGACATAACTATAATAAATATTTATGCAGCCAATGACAGGGCTC